ACCAAGCCGCCTCCTGTCACCGACAGTCAATTTTCTGGGCCTACCTGCGCGGGGATGTCTGTTCTACTTGAAATCACTTTAGCTGATCTGATGTCCTTGTTATAATACTCTAAAATCAACTTCCTCTTCTCTAAATCATCCATACTGAGGATCACTGAAAATATCGTCTGCCAGCAAGTAAACAAAGGGGGATAACTCTTCACAAACTAATGAAAAAGGATTAACGGAGTTGTCTCTCTTGAATGAAACCAAGCACTTCATAGCTGGTCAAGGTTGTTTATACTAGAAATCCAATGAAACATATTCCTAAAATTCTCAATAATTTCTGGCGTCATACTAGAAAAGCGCTTTTGGATTCTGGGAGACAATGAGTTGGTTGAAATAATCAGATTTCAATCTTTTCAAAAGTGTGTTAACTTCAAGTTTAACTGAATTGAAAATCTGTCTGTCAATCTCCAATCTTGTCTTTCGCCACCGCCTTTCAGCCTTGTGCTTCTTGATTTTGGCCTGATGAACACGAATACCAGGGGTTTTGATGTTTTTTCACCACATTTCTAGTTTGGGTTGGTGCGTGTATATCCAGGAGGTCTGACAGTGTTGAGTTGAACAAATCAGTGAGTTCGTTGGCATCTGTAGGTGGATTTAAGAAGAGCTCAGAAGATCTTATGTCATCCTTAAATTTAATTCTAAGGGTATTTCGCCTGTTAGTGGTTGTAAAGAGATAGGTTAGCTTCCTTGCTGTGTCCATGTGATATATTTAAGAGGCTATGTATTGTTTTGACTTTAATTTATTATTTATTGAGTCGTTTAGAGTGTTACATACTAAACAAAACATGAAACTTCACACGCGTTACTGATGTCCCAAACATACCCACATAGAACAAAGTATGTCACCAGTGGATAAAACTGGTTTATGGACGTACACTAAAACAGGAGTAGGTGTCATAGAGTGCTTGGTGCACCCTCCACAGTCGTCATAGAGCGCTTGGTGCACCCTCCACAGTCGTCATAGAGCGCTTGGTGCTCCCTCCACAGTCGTCACAGTCGTCATAGAGCGCTTGGTGCACCCTCCACAGTCGTCATAGAGTGCTTGGTGCACCCTCAACAGTCGTCATAGAGCGCTTGGTGCACCCTCCACAGTCGTCATAGAGCGCTTGGTGCACCCTCCACAGTCGTCATATAGTGCTTGGTGCACCCTCCACAGTCGTCATAGAGCGCTTGGTGCACCCTCCACAGTCGGCATAGAGTGCTTGGTGCACCCTCCACAGTCGTCATAGAGCGCTTGGTGCACCCTCCACAGTCGTCATAGAGCGCTTGGCGCACCCTCCACAGTCGTCATAGAGTGCTTGGTGCACCCTCCACAGTCGTCATAGAGCGCTTGGTGCACCCTCCACAGTCGTCATAGAGTGCTTGGTGCACCCTCCACAGTCGTCATAGAGCGCTTGGTGCACCCTCCATGGTCGTCATAGAGCGCTTGGCGCACCCTCCACAGTCGTCATAGAGTGCTTGGTGCACCCTCCACAGTCGTCATAGAGCGCTTGGTGCACCCTCCACAGTCGTCATAGAGTGCTTGGTGCACCTCCACAGTCGTCATAGAGAGCGCTTGGTGCACCCTCCACAGTCGTCATAGAGTGCTTGGTGCACCCTCCACAGTCGTCATAGAGTGCTTGGTGCACCTCCACAGTCGTCATAGAGCGCTTGGTGCACCCTCCATGGTCGTCATAGAGCGCTTGGCGCACCCTCCACAGTCGTCATAGAGTGCTTGGTGCACCCTCCACAGTCGTCATAGAGCGCTTGGTGCACCCTCCACAGTCGTCATAGAGTGCTTGGTGCACCCTCCACAGTCGTCATAGAGCGCTTGGTGCACCCTCCACAGTCGTCATAGAGTGCTTGGTGCACCCTCCACAGTCGTCATAGAGTGCTTGGTGCACCCTCCAGTCAACAGTAACACGATGGGGTCACTTTCATATTTCACAGGGCCTACCCTTCTGGGCCTATATTTTCGAAGCTCTCTTAGCGCTAAGATAGTCGTAAGTGCCATGCATTAACATTAACTTACGACTATCTTAGCGCTAAGAGAGCTTCGAAAATCTAGGCCCTGTATTGGAACTTGTTCAGTACCGCTTATGCCCCGCTCTCGCATTCACAACAGCAAGGCAACGTTGTCTCATTGACCACCACAACACCAGTGAGCACAGCATCAGGCAACCTGTCCCATTGCTGTACCAACATGGCGCCCAGATCGTGTCCTCAGGTTATGAATTATCCGTCTACTGCCACAGTCGACTAGCCAACCTGGAAGACCGCCTCCGTGGTGTAGTGGTTAGAGCGTCCGCCCGGAGAGCGGAAGGTCGCGGGTTCGATCCCCGATCGCGTCATACCAAAAGACGTTAAAATATGGTACTTGTTGGTCCCTGTCTGGCGCTCGGCATTAAAGGGTACAACAAGGTCAGGTCGGCTCGGAGTCAGTATAATGTGTCTGAGTGGGGTATTCATGCTTCACTGCGGCATGGTATCTCAGTGGGCTAGCACTATAAAACCAGCTTAAGTCTGGGCTAGTACAAGCAGCCGCACATACACATACACATGCATGCACGTCGTCATATGAGCGAAATATTCTCAAGCACGACGTTTAACCCAATTTCACCTCACCTCACCTAGCCAACCTGGAACATGCCAATAGCACGTTCACGTTCAACATTAAATTTTGTATGACGTGGCATGAGAATTGTTTATCTCAAGGGTTGTTTACGTGTATTTTTTCAATCACCAGCAAATCCTGTACACGTGTTAGTGGTTGGACACACGAAATTGTGGTCACATGGCCCCGCACACGTGCAGGGTCGCATTTTCACGAAAGAGCGTACTGCATGCACCCCGCTTGGTTCAACACCGTTGAAATCTGCGGGTGCGTCGGGTTCGACCTGGGCCCCGTTCTTCAAAGCGATCGTAGCGCTACGACAGTCGTAAGTCTATGTTAAAGTATGGGAGTTACGATCTTCTTAGCGCTGCAATAGCTTTGTGGAACGGCACCCTGGTCATTATGGTATTCGCCCATATTTACTACCTTGTACTACCCATTTTTAATATAATTCATTTCTCCATATGTGAAGTTTCTGGGGTTTTTTGGTTCAGTATAGAATACGCAGTAGAAGTCTATTAATTACTGATATGTATAATAATAGCAGGGTGTCCTTGGAGCCGCCCCCTAGTCAGAGCACACCAAACAGTGAAGGGTGTTTTGTAGTCTGTCTCACAGTCCCCGGAACCACATTATGTTCCCTAATGCCAAGCCCTCCCTGCAATGCATAAGCCCTTAATGAAGCAAGTCTACATTTCTTCAGATTCAGGGATCCTGTCCTGAATCTTCCAACTCATTGGGGCGCTTTTTCAAATTAATTGGGTTTATTTGTTACTATCAAAATTATATCTGTTCAGGGACTAAGCGTTAGTCTAGGTGTTTAGGTCCTCCGTGCTCCTATTTATAAGATTTGTATCGTGGGTATCCCAGCTGAGGTGCTCATCGAAAATAAGGCCAGGGAATTTAGATTGTTTTTGAAATTTAATGGGACTATTTTAAGATATGTTGATGGGTTTTCTAAAGTTGTATTTGTTTCGATGTAGATTAGAAGCTTTTCCGGACAAATGGAAATGTGCATTCGGACAGACTAAAGTATTAATCTGTTTCAAATCCTGTTTCGTTTAACGATTCCGCTTTTACACATAACCTTTAACAAGCTGCGTTCAAAGACCGTCCGCCTTACTAGCAATAACATTATTATGGTGGACGTTTATGGTTTGATCAGTTTTGTTATGTGTGTATGTTGCATTAATAAAGTGTAGGCGTTGTTGTCGAGAAGGAATTAGTAATGGAGTAATTACACAATTCTATCAGAGGCCGGTATTTGCCCGGTCCGGCCCGGCTTATAAGCACTCTCGAATAAATGTAATACCGTATCATACAGAACATTTGTCCGTTTGTTACCAGTGTGTAAATTACATCACATGCATGAAAGCATATGATTTAATACTGATATAAATATCCAACAGTTTTTCAGTGTTCTGGAAAACAGCCTGTTTGTCGTTCAACGCCGCTCTCAGTAGCATTTCAGCGGCGGTCAGTAAATAATCGAGGCAGGACCAGATAATCCAGTGATCAACATTATGAACATCGGTCTACACGATGAGGATATGATGACATGTCAGCGAGCCTGACCACCAGATCCCGTCAGTCGCAACTTCTCAATGATAACATTGACGTATTCTATCTTGACCTTTAAACTGATAGGTCGAATTGCGTGCTTTGGATTTGGTGCTATGACATCTTCTGTTTTTAAATAAGAATGTGATGAATATATATGTTTTGAAGCTAAAACTCATTTACACTTAGTACTTGAAATGTTCATGAATGCAGACTTGTTCTCGTCTGTATACGGCTGAAATAATGCCGATGTGACGTAAAGCCCAACTCAACTCAACTTGTACTTAAAAATGTGTATTAATTCAGACTTGATCTCGTCACTATGGCTGGAATAATGCCGATGTGACGTAAAACCCAACTCAAAACAACAACTCAACTTAAACCGACAGATATATATATATATGCTGTTGGGTTTTTATTTCGTTTGATGTTTAACGCCGCACTCAGCAGTATTCCAGCTATATGGTGTAAATAATCGAGTCTGGGCCAGATAATCCAGCGATCAAGAGCATGAGCATCGATCTACACAATTGGGATACCATGATGTGTTGGCGTGTACACATGTCTTTAATAACTTTCTTTTTACATTTTTGTCAAGTATAAAGCTGATATATTCTGCAAATATTTACCTTAAACATCATAGGCTGAGTTTTTGTGTGAAAACGAGTTTAATCCCATAAAGCAGAAGCGGTTCATTTCTGGTTAAATGAATCTCAATTACTTATGAGATGCCCCCTAACGGGACACTGCTTTTCCGTTTCACTCCGTCGTGTTGAGTAAGTCACGTGACTTGACGTCACGAACCGTACGCGAACGATGAGGCATGTCTCTAGGACCGAAGTTGTGCAAGGATAAAAGGATATACTACCACTTACCGGAGACCCATGTGTGTTGACAATGGAGTGTAAATAGGTAAGTATTAGGCGAAAAACAAATATTTTCAATAACAGTGCGTGGCAGTGTGTAGTTTTCGATTTCTCCCATTTCGAAATCGGTTGCTAACAGACGCTTCGACCTCCTGAGCGCAAGATATGCATCACTTGATTCATTAGGCTCCGTGTGCTGTTGTTGACACAACTAAACAGACCCGTTATCACCAGGGAGTGGTGGCGACATTTACAACACAGGTGCTTTTCTTGTGTTTCCAGCTAGTTGTTATAATTATTTTATACTGATTGAAACGATTAGCAATTGAAAAGTAGTAAAAAGTCTGAAAGAATCTGAAGGTTTTGTATGAAAAAAGTAGCACAAGATGATGTCTAAAAGTGAAATTGTTATTGAATGCTGCCATTTCAAAGAAATTTACCAATTTTCGTTTCTTACCTGTTCAACTGATTTGACTGTTTTGAAATATGAAGAAATCTAAAACAAAATCTAAAAGAAACTTTAGTTGGGCAATTAGATTAAAAAAATTAAAATTGAAAATTTGGAATTCAGTTATCCTGAGCAACTAACAAGTTCACGTAGGCAATTTGTTTGTTAGACTGTGTGTATGAGAAACTTGAGATTTTTTAAGTGAATATATGCTTTCTTTGAATTTTTCTAAAGAATTTAAATCATGATAGTAAAAGTATAATATCCTTTTGAAAACATGCTTTATTGATACATTTTACATTTAATGCATTTATGACTTCAGTTATATGTTATAAAAATTGTTTCAATAATTTTCTTCACATTGTTTACAGATCAAGCAATCATGAAAGGCCAACAGGAAATACTCGACACCAGTTAAAAATATTTTAACTAAAATTCCATTAAAACATGTGAGAAAGAGGAAATTTGTTAGTCCAAATTGTGAAACATCATCATGGGGAACGCGTGTCAACGGAAGTTGAAGGAGGATCCCGACTCTGCCTGGAGACAACAAAACAAAGAAATAGAGGAAAATTCTGTCTACAGTTTCATCAATTTCAAAAAAGGAGGTACCTTGATTGATGCATACAATGAGGGAGGCCCAGAACGGGTGGAAGAATTAGCTCGCAGAGAAATTGAACCGTACCTCTATAACGGTGGAAAAGGTGCCGTTATTTCTAAATTGGAATATATTAAGTGGTGCCGAAGACAGCTAGCCAAGAGTGCTGTGAGTATTGATTTGGATCCTATTTATTTATGGTCTTGTGTTCCTGACCTTTAGAATGATGGAACCCGTACTATTTAAACTATTTGCCCTTTCATGTGCTTTTTCTTGTTACATTTTTTAAAAGTATTTTGTCGTTAATAATATATTTGTTATTTCCAAGGCTCATTGCCAACACCTAAAAACATTTGTCTCGAAAACCTCATGAAAGTTACTAACTGAGATTTTCTGAGGAATTATAGAGATTATTATTTCAAGAATATTTTTGAGTTTTTCAGATATTTTATTATTGCCATCATTGCATCATCTGTAGTAAGTAATACTGACATGAAATTAATTCTGTTACAATGAATCCCATCCCACTAGTAGAATTCTGAAATGAAAAAAATTGTTTATTTTGTGCAACCAAGTGGGAAACATTTGTGTAATTGTCTAAATATTCTGTTAGACTATTGTGGATCAGATTATGCCATTAAGCGGGTATGGTTTCTTTGACTGAATATATGGCTGTGTTCATCACCAAATTTTACAAACAGTTGTTATTTTCAGAGCTGGTACAGAACATGTTTGTCACTATTTTCATTCAAAAGGATCAAGGGGGGGTTGGAGCTTACCCACACTGCCCCTAAGGATCATAAATATGCTTTATCTATACATCATACTTCAATAAACATTTTTGTATACTTAGTTTCCTTATCGTGAGATATATCTCATTTATATGATGCTGTTGAGTGGGAAAGAGATTCTATGGTTGTATAAAGTTTTGACAAAAACATTGAGTTTTGAACATTGCAGAAATACTAAATGTTTATGTCAGTGAGAGATATGGTCAAACTGTTTCTTTTCCGAGTCAGGGGTGTTGGGGTAGCCTAGTGGTTAAAGCCTTAGCGCGTCACGCCAAAGACCCCGGGTTTGATACCCCACATAGGTACAATGTGTGAAGCCCACTTCTGGTGTCCCCGCCATGATATTGCTGGAATATTGCTAAAAGTGGGGTCAAATTAAACTCACTCACTCACTCCCTTTTCTGAGTCAGTTCCTACGTACATAGCAGTAACACTGAATGATTTGATAATCAATAAAAAAATTATTATATCAGGAACATTGCAAACAATGGGGAGTTTTATGTATAAGAAACAATGAAACAATTAACTCTTTCATTAGTAAAAATACCACTGTTACTATTGCTACACTTATCTTCGACCCGTGAAGATCCGGGGTAGAATAGGTCTTCAGCAACCCATGTGCTTGCCATAAAAGGCGACTATGCTTGTCGTAAGAGGCAACTAACGGGATCGGGTGGTCAGTTTCGCTGTCTTGGTTGACACATGTCTTCGGTTCCCAATTGCGCAGATCGATGCTCATGCTGTTGATCACTGGATTGTCTGGTCCAGATTCGATTATTTACAGACCGCCGCCATATAGCTGGGATATTGCCGAGTGCGGCGTAAAACTAAACTCACTCACTCACTCACACTTTTCTTCATATTTCACTTTGCTGGATTATGTTTTTGCTGTGTCTACACAGTTGTTGAGAGTATTGTTTCAATGAACAACATTTATTGGTTGATATTAATCTCGTAAAGCCCAGAAGGGACCAATCACCATGACGCTCGTAAATCTCGAGTTATCAGTTCACAAGAGGCATTAATGAAGTTTTATGGACAGATGAAATATCTCACACAATTACAATGATTGGTGTTCAGAGCTAACTTTGCCTGTTGAAATTTACTTCCAACTTGAGGAAAATGTTTTTTGCTGAGAGTAGTAAATACACAAAATAGGCTCATGTTCATTCAGCTTAGCATTTTTCAGAAAGTGTAAAGGACATTTGCTGTAGTGGACATACATTGTAAGCTGTATTTTACAATGGTTTGACTTTTGAGCAGAAATTCCATAGACATCTGAGCTTATCAATAAGCTGGCCCTATCTTAACACGAGATATTGTGTACAATAGAGTCTGAGGATTAACAGGGGTGGGTGGTATCATGTTATCGCGACCCCAGACGTTGTTGTGGCTATTTCACATGACCCGCCGCGGTACGGAGAAACCTCCCATAACAGACAATGAGGTGTACTATAACATTAATAATTTATATTTGGACTAACAAAAGCTGCTGAGATAAACTTGTATTACATCACATAAAAAAATGTCTATAACTGAACCCTTTTACATTACAGGATGTTAAGTCTCTTAGTGCTGCCAGACTCATGAATATTAAGTGCAGGGCAAGTGGGATAATATCATATATTTTCCTAGGGCAAGTACAAAAGTCAGCTGTGTTAACTTTGAAATTTAGAAGATAAATTGTGTGCTTTAAAAATCATTCCATACCACTAGAGGCCATCTTGCATGTTTGCATTGCAACACTTGTTTACACAAAATGTCATACCACGAGATATTTGTCAGTCACAGGTCATGTGATGAGACGAGCTAAACAAATACTGTACTCCTGACAACGTCAACACAACAAATCTCAAATCTGTTTTAAATATGTTTATTTTTGCTCATTTGCTGACCAGATTAAACAGATCTGTTGATCAAGAGGTAGAAAAGGTTAAAACAACAAAATAGGTATGTTTGAAAAAAACAACACATTTTCTATACATGTTACTGATTACTTTAAACGCTTTTCAAACTTAGAGATTGTACAAGGGACAGATTAGCTAGTCAATGAAACCCTCGTTAGGGTGAATTTATAAGTATATGTACTTTATAGTTAAGGAAATGAATGCGTCCAATCCTACACCTTGTACTGTAATCCTAACACTCTACAGCTGTAGTAAAGGTATATATGGTGCTTAACCTTTATACTCTTTTTATGCCAATTCTTATCCTACAGAATAAGTAGCTTCACATTTAACACTTATTGAAATAGTGAAGTACCTCAAGTGTTAGATTTCATGCCTTACAGAGAAGTGTTTGGAGTACTTACTTAGTTGTCGTTGTCGTGTTTGGTTATTGATTGCTTACGAAAACATCTCAGTCTTACTTTCTATTTCGGTCAGAATTTCGCGTGAGACTGTGTAATGTTTGCAACACCAACTGATGTTTGTAAGCATCAATAGACCTGCAAAAAAAAATTTTTTTTCGTTGGATGTTCAAACTGATTATTCAAGTGCTTGTTGGGTTTTTGTTTGAGTGTGTAACAGTAGGTCTTTGTGTGGCATTTAGAAGAGATACATATTAGGGAGAGAGTTTATGGATGTCAGCTCCTTTATTATGAGGAACATAATGTTTGAACTGATGAAGGAGCAAGTACATACTCCAAAATGTGATGTTCCTCAGAATAAAGATGTTGACATCCATAACACTCTCTTCCTTATATATAACAGTACTTTCAACTATTAAATCAAATATCAGGGTGCGATTTCGCTATTTACAACCTGCACCGGTGCATGTTCAAAATGGCTGGTGCAGGTTGCTTTTAGTAACAGGTTGCACCCGGTGCAGGTAACAATAAATCCTCCAACATCTTATTGCTGTTATCGAGTGTTTTAATTGGGAAGTAGGTGACTGGAAATAACAAGACTTCTTACAAACATAAACATTTGTGTACTCATTATATAATCAGTTAAGTAGCAGTAATTATATAATTGAGATTTATAAATAAAGGTATTGCAAACAGAATCATTCATCATCGTCATGGGTTCTGGTTCTGTTGAATGTATCCCATACTGAGTACTTGTTATGAAAATTGCTGAACAAATATTTAGAACCAGTGACATTATTTCATGGTACATCCAAAATTTTGATGGTGCAGCCAAATCTATAAGCCAGGTTGCACGCGGTGCAGGTACTGAAAGATAAATGAAATAGCATTCTGAATATTGAAACTATCAGAAATAAAATATGAATAATCCATTTTTATTATTCTGCATTGAAAGATCATTGCCAATAACAGACCGAAGTTTACCTTATTCATGGAATGCCACCAAGTAGAACTGATGAGTCGAGTGACATTGTGGGTTAAGGACCAGTCTGTTAGAACAGTAATTGACCCTCCCTTACCTGGCTAGACTACAAAGTTTACTGGTATGTCTGTGATAGATCTGTCAGCTGCCTGTCACATATGTTTGAACATTGTCAAAGAAATGTCATGCTTGCTTGTGTTAAACATTATTGTCAAACTTTATGGATTACAACTTCTTTTATTTCTTGAGTGCTTGACAGCCCTACAATGATCTGTATTGATATGTTACACTCACGATATAAAAGAAGTTGGAATCCATAACGTTTGTCAATATTGTACTGCCCAACTTCTAAAACACCACTCAAATAGAAGTATTAAACACTTGGAAATGTTACAGTTTTCGATATTAAGTGTGCCTTGTTTGACTATGCTCAAAGTATGATCCAAACTTAGGTGAAAAATTAGTTTTATCAAAATGTATACGCTATTAAGGTGAAAACAGTGTACCCCTCTCCAGATTTCTCATGATTGATGCAGGAAAATTTAATTAGCATCTTATTTCTCCTGTTAGAATCTTTCGTCATCAGTTATCAGTGCTTAGTACACACATGGCGAAGTTTTCTATTTTTGACCAAGTTGAAGATTTTGAGTTCAAACATGGTCAGGTTCATGCACCAGGGGTTTTATCTTGACCTGCTCAGCAGCCAGAATTCATCCCGAAGTACCGGTAGGCAACAAAAATTCCCCAAATCATTTTTGTACTTATTGGTATATTCTTTCTTCCACAGTAAACTTATCGTATGGACAAACACAGGATTGTTGTCATAAGTTTTCAGTAGCACATAATTTTCTAAAGATCTTAGTCACATTTGATTCCTGAAACAACATCAATAATATAAATAAATCTGTCCACATTCTGAAGGCCAGTCTGATAGTGAACCTATGTACAACTAAATATTCTCACAAAAAGGAAATATTTGAAAATGTAGTTTTTGTTTCTACACAAACTGTTTGTAAACGTACACTAAACTGAACATACCACATTTACCTAACAACACCAGCTAACATGATGCTTGCTCTTGACTTCT